AGACTGCGTGATTTTAAATTCCTATAATGTTTATGCATACATACGAATAAATCACTTGAATCACAAGTGATGAAAACGATTTCAACTATATGAGACAACAATATGAAATATGGTAAAAAAACAAAACAAAATCTAATAGTAACTTGCAGATGATACTGATGACAGACAGACGAGTAAAATGGAAATCCACTAGTGAATTCCTTTAATTTTACTCGCATTATGAGGAATGAATAACGGTGATAATAATAATAATGATAATAAATAACTTGCATATCATGTAACAGAATACATTTTAAATATGTTAAAATACAAACTAAAACGCACAGTTTAACAGCTCTGCAGAAGTGAGTTAAGAAAATAGACAGTGTTTTACTTCATAGCGGTGTATAGATTGTATTCAAAAGCTATGAATAACAGAACGGATTGTAATACAAGTTAGACTAAGAAAATACAATAATTTGAAAATTACAATTTACCAAAGCCTGGAGTATGCTGTACTGTGAATAGTACTTCTCAAAGGTGAAACTTGAATTACATCCTAAACTGTTTAAAAAAATTAAATTATATGCTAAATACGGCTATTCATGATCCTGAAATAACGTCTAACTCATAAAGGATATATTATATGTCAAATAAATAGATAAGTGTAACATGTAGTATTGTGTGATCAGATATTATTACTAATAATTAATATTCAAGAGTTGGTTTGTAAGGATTAGATTTGTTTTTACGAGTTTGAGCACGGATTGATATGAGTTAGAAGACCATTGATTATCAATCCTTGGTCAAACTCGTATAAAAACATCTAATCCTAACAAACCAAACTCTTGAAAATTAGTATGATGCCAGCTAGTGACTTGCTACAGGATGGAGTTTCCTGGAGTTCTAGTGAGAAGTCATGACCAGTGAGGTCCATCCAGTTAAGTATGAGGATGAATTTCCCACCGATGATACTGACTGGTGATCACGCTAAGTTACGAATTGGTAGAAGTTAGAATTCATGAACTGGCCATTAAATCGGGTCTCAGTGGCAGAATGGTGTACGAGCTTGCCTTGTAACTGGAAGGTCCTGGTTTCCAACTCCAGTAGGGTGCGTGCTGCCGATGATTTCCAAACTGGGATGAAGCAGCTGTCCAATACTCCCTGGTTTTCCTTGGCTCTCTAAATGATTTCAACAGTTAATTTGAAGGGACTTGATCTGTTTCAAGTTTGATCACATGTTGATATCATTTGGGGAACCACTGAAAGCTAGCGAGAACTGGAAGACTGTTTCATCCTAGTTTATGACCCTTCAACAGTGCTCACCTACCACCAGGATTCGAAAGCGGGACCTTCTGATTACAAGGTGAGTCCGTAGGCCACTCAGTGATTGCGACCCGACTCAGTGACCCATAAATTCCAACCTCTACTAATTCGCAATTTTATCGCAATCACTAGCCAATGTCATTAGCAAGTATCTGTCCTCACGCCCAACCCCATGAATCTCATCAGCTGCGAATTCTCACTGGAACTCCGGGAAACTTCGTCAGTAGCAAGCATCAGAATAATTTTCAAGATTTAATTTTCAGGTATTTTATTTATTTCAAGGGTCCCATACTAGGACAAAACAGCTGTGAAGAATCCCTTGGTTTTCAATGGTCGTCTAAATGATATCCAACTGTGATCAAACTTAAAACTTGATAACTGCTTTATGAATTAATCTGAAAGTCTTTGGAAAAGTATAGGAATAAAAACAACAAGAATGCCATGGCCAACATGAATAATAAGCATACACAGAAAGGTGACAACATGAAGAAAGTGGAATTGAAAACACCACTAGTGCTGCCCTACAATGAGCGAACCTGTGAAACCTTATATAGGATTCTTAACATTGCAGGGATAAAAGTGCTATTCAAATACGCGAACTCACTTAACGAAAAATTATGTCCGTTAAACGATACTGTGGGACCCCTTAAAATGTCTGGTTCGCCTGTTATTTTGCAGTAGACCTAAGGTCACAAACATACGACAAAGCATTATATGAGGATTACTTAGATTACCAGAAAACAAAGTCTCAGCAAAACGTAGAATTTTAGGCATCAGTGAGTTGAAAAATCTAGAAAAGACTCATCTGTAGCCCTACATATATATATAGTTGCACACAACCGTACAACAGCATGAGACAGGGCAACAGTTTTAAGATCTAATGAAACACAGTGGAGAGGGAAAGGGAAGCCACATCTGTCGCATGAACCGAGAATAAGAGTGATTCACCACTCGTCTCAGATATCCAGGAAAATTTACTACTTTCGCTACAAATGAGAAGTATAAAATTTGATATTTTGTAGTTACAGTTGATATGATTATGAACTAAGAATTGTCTTCAAAGTGTCATCAAGTAAATAATAGTGATTCACTCTGTGACATATTCAACAAGGAAAAATAACATTTTAGATGTCACTATGCCAAATAAATCCTCACTCAAAAAATTCCCTAGTAGTTTACAGATAGAATAGACGGTTTTTACCTATGCACAGATGAATTTCTCGCTTCCAGAATAATGCATAGCAAATCTTATGAACAAAGACTGCGATATCACAACTAAATTTTATGAAAATATCCTCCGGCAATGAATTATTATCCTGTTTTCTTACTACTAACCAAATTTTTATCTTGGTGACACTTTTTAGTAGTGTTCATTTTGAATTATAAACACTATATGTGGGGTTTTCTTACGACCCCATAGAAAGAAACTGATGATTAGTAATTCATCCATCAACAGCGACTGATTACCTCCGTAAAGACACTACTCCTCATCTACAAGCTTCCTATAAGCCTGTTATCCTAACAATACTCAAATACTACCTCTTAATGTAATTTTCAACATTATTCGTGTCCTTCATCTATATTTTAATATCTGACTGGTTGGACACGGTCATTATAAGGTCCGTCCACTTGAGTCGCTCTAGTTTAGAGTTATCATGAGAAGAAAAAGAAGAATAAGAACCTCTCTATTCCAGACCATGACTTTACAAAACATGGAACTTATTTCATTTTTAGACTGCAATAGATTTACTCTTTCTACATATAAAATTAACAGAAATAACAGCAAAAACAAGAACAAATGGAGTAATTTAAACGAATATATATTTTGTGTAAGAGAATATTTCGGTAGCCCAAAGTTCAAACAGGCCTTCAGCATTACAGCTCAACAATTTTTCTCGAAGGACAATGAAAGCTTCAAAACAATACCACTTAACCGAGAGGATATAACCACACAAAAAATTTTTAATACATCAGAATTTTCCAAATGTTTCAGTTCTTGAAGTACACTTCAATTCAACATTTTTGATGTTTGAAAATTTACAACATTTGTTAGATTGTTAAATTGTACTTGAAAGATAACTCAAATTAAGTCTTTCTTCTAAAGTGTAGTGAATCATACTCTTTCTACTTTTTAACTAACCTAGTAATTCATTTTAACCATTTTCGACAAGTCTTTGTGGAAATCTTGTATCTGCTAGAATCATATCAGAACAAATTTACAATGTATGAGTGTTGTGACAAAACAAGAAATCGATATCTATGGTGTATAAAAATATACCCAGACGAAGTTCACATTTAATAGTTTGAAAACATATAGGCATTAGATTTATGATATTCATCATAATAAAAGAACCAAAAGATGTTAATTTTACTGAAGCTTCGCTATTTAATGCTTACAGATTAACCAAAGTTATATTAGATGAGAATTCAGAAAATCTCAGCTTACATTTATTATTATTCCCTTGGGTTCCGAGTAGAACATAGGGCTTCAACAACACACCTCTAAATTCTTCTATTTTCTGCTATCCTCTTCATTTGGTTCCACTATTTTCCATAATCTATCATCTCACCCTCCAACTCACACGATCTCCTCTGTGTCAGCATCGCACTGATGACCCACTCGTTGCTTCCCATTTGGATTACACTCGAGAGATGGCCGGCATTGCACGCGATGTCACTTGACGGCCTCTTCAACGCATCCGCAACCCATCCCTTTTTCCTCCTACATATTTATTGAACAATCGGCTCTTGGTTGGTTAGTTCCCAGCCAGTGTTTCTTGTTGCGAATTCTTTCTGCCCGGTTGGCCATTTGATTTCCATTATGAAGCCGGCGTAGGCAGCTCTTCATAAAAGCCTATAACTTGCTGGAAATGCTTTTCGTGACACACAGTGCAAGTTTCTGACCCGTATAGAAGAGGTGACTGACTTCACTTTTGTGTCGAAAATCCTAATCTTGTTCTTAATGCCACGGAGTACAGAAGATTCGCAAAATGGTTTCAGGTTGATGAAGGCGTATCTTGCCTTTCTGGTTCTGGTTGGTGGTGTCATCTTCATCCGTTTCGCCCCCTTACATACAGTGACGTAATCACCGCACTTCAGTTTGAGATAATTTTACATCGCTGACTGGATGAATTGTTAAGGATTTGATAAATGTATGAAATGTGTAAAATCCTTGTTCTATTTGTGATGACATAATCATTTCGATGACAAAGGGTGATGTAAAATAAATTCGATCGAATCTATATCTTACTCGGTCATTCCACAATTCAGATAACTGGGATTTCGTTTAAAATGAAGCACTTTTGATATGAGGCATTGTTTACTTCATGCAGAAAAAATATAATTGCATTACTGTATATAAGCTGAGATTTTCTAAATTCTGATTTGACTTTACTTTGATAAAGCTATTAGAGTTGAGTAGTGAAACGTCAGTAAAATCAGTATCGTTCCATGTTTGTTTCATTCATTAGGAAAAAGGGGAAAACTTACATAATGCTGGATAACAGACGTTGATCATTAGTGATAAGCACTAATAATACCCTAGCAAATAAAATCTAAGGCCTATTTGACTTTGATTCGATATATATGAATTATAGTCTGTTTATGAAAAGAAAATTGACACTTATTTTTATATCTAATATTTGATATTTTTTTGTTTGGTTTCATTCTTTTCAACGTTTTGTTTATCTTTCTAGTTAACTGTAAAATCATACTTTGCTCAATCAAAGTTTTCATTCCTGGATTACATTTTTGGCGGGTAAGTTAAAAAAAACTGTCATGTTATAAAGGATTACTTCTCATTACAGTTATTACCTGTTACTAAAACGGCGCAAACAGATGGTGTAATTTCCGCTGTCTATGAAGTAGTTAGCAGAGTATTGTAATAACTAATTTACATACATAAATTTATTAAAAATTCGACCAATATTCAAGACATGAGGCGTATCCTTATTTCACAGCTCCCTATTGTTGTTCCGTATTAATTTGTGTATTGGATATATTATCAATTATTGGCTTGCAGGGATTTGATTAGTCACAGGATTGACCGCTAGCTGACAGCAGATAAAGAACCACTGGAAAACCAGGGAGGACTACATGACTGTTTCGCTCTAGTTTGGGACTCTTCACCAGTACGCATTCAACGAGGCTTGAAGCTAAGACCTTCCGGTTACAAGGCAAGCTCGTAGACCATTTGGCTATAGGGACTCGACTGAAATCAACAGTTGATAATTAATCTCAAGATCACTAGCGATTGGCTCTACATCGGAAGTTATCTGAAGTTCTAGTAAGACATCAGGACTAGCTAATTTCAATGGATGGCTGGCATGCTAAACACCGCGAACCCGTAGAATTTGAATTTCATGAATCGTTGGATGAATGGCTTGTAGACTCGCCTTGTAACCGCGAGGTCCTGGGTCAGAACCCCGGTGGGTGTGTACTGATTAACAGCTTTAAACTGGGACGAAACGGCTGTCCAGTATTCCCTGGTTTTCTAATGGTTCGCTAACTGATACCACCTCATACCCACTCCCAATCGAAATATGTCACACGGTTAAATACTTTTTTAGTTGATGAGGTCTCGAATACACTTCATTGTTAATATTGGCATCAATCTATAAGGTATACGTCATCACATAACACATATATCAATCACAAGTATGCACTGCAGTGTATATAATGAAATCAGTCGCTCATCTTTGTCTGTTGTATGTAAAACGGGTTTTTCTAGCCAGTTGATTGATTGCAATTTTGCTAAAAGTATTAACAGGTCCTGCATGAAATTAGACACATACCAGGACACATTTATCATTCACATTCTGCTTCGATGTCATTATGAACAATAAACTGAGTTTGGAAGATCTACCAAGAAATAATCGTTCATCTAACAAGTACATCTAACAAATAAATTCATATGCTACAACAGTTCCAAGCTTCACTGTTAATTAAAAATGGGTATAACTGCTGAATAATCTAATATAACTAGTGAAGTAAGAAATTCAGACCTACAATTTACTCAGAATAAATTTGATTGCAAATAAGTTTTCTAGTGATATCAGTGGATGACGCTTGATAAAGTATTGCAGTGTCTATGAAACTGAAGGAGTGTTTTCTCCTAGATGAAAACCAAAATCCATGTTCCTGCCTTTTAAGCATTTCTATTTAATGCCTTATAACTAAAAGTGTGTAATAACAACACCTTATATAGAAACTTACTTCAACTACTTCCTTCACAATCTAGCATTACGTATTTCATCTACCTTTTTCCTTAGCCTTTCTCTACTACGTTGATTTGAATGCTTATTTCTATAATCCAATTGTTTTTCACCATACTTTTTATGAAGTGCGTCGGTAGCACAGTGGTAGAATGCTCACCGGGGTTCGATTCCCGGCGGACGCAATCCTTTACCTCGCTAAGCCATTAGTAAGACTGGTAGAGAGAAAAGGTTGGGCATGAGGCTAGCAACCACATCCTGTAAAAATAAACACCGCTGCTACAGAAAAATACATTTTATGACTAATCTCTCGTTTTTACGCCTTGTATTGTGTGGTTTTCGCATCAATTCTGTTTGGATAGCTTCTGTCTGTATAATTCCCGAGTGAAGAATACTCCTATAATAAACGCTGACTGTCTGTTTTAGCAGCAAGAAGCAAAGGATAGCTAAAGCATAGCTATTCTTTCTTCACAATTATTGTTAAGAAAAGTCTATTCATGATTATCTTCTATGAGTGAAGTAGGATCAAACAAAATTTACAAATAAGAGAGTATTCTGCAAATTAGTATGTATATACAAAGTCTATAATTTCAGTATCTAACTTAATGAAGTATATATAAGTCTGGAAAGGAAAACAGAGACACGGGGGGGGGGGTGGGGAGAGAAAGCATCTTTTTTTATTCATGTAATTCCCTTAGGAAAAATCCATTTTAAGTAAGATAATTTATAAGTAATCAAAAGGACAAAAAGAAGACGCTTTGCTTTGTATTTATTTACTTTCTTTTCATTCCTTTGCTACATAACTTCAAGTGGCTTTTTACGATAATTGATGATTGAATAATTTCCCTCAGAAATGTGTAAAAAACAAAACGAAAAAACATTTTTGTGCATGTAAGATTCATCATATGATTTACTCAGCTGAATAAACTTGTTTTCCCAACTCATAATCATTGATAGGACAGAATAATTCTAGGCTAAGTAGCGTAGCTTTCAGTGATAAAGAATACTATACTTGTGATGTATTTCAGCGACCTGCTTAAATCATTGTGCTACCTAGATATTTTTAACCACCTAAATGATTCATATTTATTTTATTTCATAATGCTGTGATCCTATGATTATGTCTGAGATTCGCAATGTGTATTGTACACTGTCATTAGTTATATTACCTGAAGATTCTGCAAAAGGAGTGGATGCAATGGAAAACTCACCGAAAATTTTGTATTGCGTATAAATGCATTTTCCAGAGTCAAGCTAAGTTCCCTAACCGATGTCAGTTCACGATAAAATCCTGAAACTAAACAAATCCCTGTAAACCAGCCCTTTAATATAAATCTGATGCTCACTAATAACTGGCCCTATTCAGGTAGGTAGTTACCTAGGTTCTAGTAGGAAGTTGTAATCACTGACGTTCAGCAGGTCGGGTGTGAGGACAAATATTCGCCATGGATGGCACTGGCTAGTAGTCGCGCTATATCATCAGTTAACATTGGATCCGATCCCAGTAGCCGAGCTCGACTTGTATCCAGAAGGTCCTGGGTTCGAACTCCGGTGGGTGCGTACTGATGAAGAGTTCCATACCCGAATGAAACGACTGTCTATTACTCCCAGGTTTCCCAACAGTTCCCCAACCAATGTCACTTCGTGATAAAATCCTGTAACCAATAAAATCTCTGCAAACCAACACTTAAATATCAAGCTACTATAGTTGTTGCTCCTAAAAAAAACCCATTAGTTTTACAGCAGAAAGAACAGATATTTGAGCAGAAGCTTTTGTCGTGTTTCATTTTAGTATGAAAGTTTCTTCAATGCCTTTTCAGGAGGAAGGATGAGCAAAAACCAAACAGTTAGCAAAAAACTGAAAATGTTTGACGGCACAAAATCTTTAAATTTTAATGTCTAGATTTTTACGAGTAGCGCATGAATACATTAATTCTTATTGAATTCTGACTATATTTCATAATTGTTGACAAACAAGATTTTATATCCTCGGAAATTTCAAGATTTTAATGCGGTTTCCTAGTACAGGTAATAAATGATGGAATAACTTAAAAGAGAAGAATTCCATCACTTCTCATTCCTACGTAGTTTCACGTCAACATACTCTTCCTTCATCTTATTCTGGTTGATGGCAACTAACAATGAAATCCAGGCTGTACATTTCATCCAATTTGGGACTTGCCAGCTAAATGCATCTACATCCTTAGCGAGTGACTGTATTCCCACTCAGGCTCAAACTCTTTACCTATCGTTTCAAACTCCAAAGCATTACCCAGTAGACCAATCGGGCCACAACAGCTGAGTTTTCTGTGATTGATATCAGTTATTCTTCTATTTCGAGGTTAATTTACATATTCTGTTGATATATCATTTTGATCCTAGATGTTCGGTCCCTGCTGACATGTCAGCTCCTAGTACAGATGCTTTGACGATGTCTAAGAATTAACATGATATCATTTTTGTTGATGATGTCTAACAGTGTAAATCAGAATGTTTTTTCATCCTATTTGGAATTCGTCAGCTGCTAATCAGCATCAACCAACATAATACCATGTTAATCTTCACATACCATCGAAGAGTCTGCAGTAGAAGTCATGTGAACTTCTCCTTTCCCAGAGTATTCACTGCAGGTAAACTGCTTGTTAACAGCTGAACTGGGACTTGTGTAAAGTGGATTCATTGAAAACTAATTTAATTAAACAAATTATTTGAACAGTTAAGTGTTTTAATTAATGTTTTTAAATTCAATGATAAAAAGGAGACACTTAAAATTGAAATAAATTTAATTATTCAACGTTTTAATGGTATTCCCTGTCTCACTTTCAACGTGTATGGTTCTTTTTTATGTCTCTTTTTGTTGCCACCTTTTAAACTGAGATAAAACCATACTGTGATAACGGTATTATTCTAAATTCACCTCATTATGATTTTCAGTCTTACCTCTTCTTGGATATCATAATGCTCAGTGACATGATTTGATTTTATATCTCAAGTAAGGGTCATGTTGTTAGCAGCCAACTTACTTTGCTTGCTAAAAGTACCTAAATAAAACCTGACATTATTTGTTGGGTCTCCATTCTCATTATGCAGTGTGTATCCAAACACCTGCATGTGATCAAATTGCACGTAATCATATAACATAGCTATATAACTTACTGCCCTCATTTTCAAAGGCAAATTTAATAAATTACTGACTGACTGACTGGTTTCAACGTAGAACTTTGCACCGATGTGCAGCAGTTCAAGTTGCCACACTTAGCACACAAAGTGATAGAAGAAAGTAAAAAGAGATAATAAACAGAGATATGAAGCAAAAAGTATAGTAATATCGAGGAACCATACAGTTTTATTAGATATTATAAGTCACAAGGAGTGAATGGATCTGCGCTACTGAGGACGATTTCGAGCCATATCACCAACTGTCACCGGCCATTGTTTTTTACCGTTCCGAGGACCCCAACCAGGAAGCCAGTCTACACCTTCCTATATGGCTTAAACTAACTGTCACGGATTTCATCGACCAATGAAGCCATATTTTCGTTTAACCATCACTGGCTCTTTTCCAGCCTGAACCTATGTCAACTAACATTGCCTGTTGCCGAGGAAGGCAATGCGTAGACATACGTAGCACATGTCCTAACCATCTCAGTCGATGTAACTTCACAACCGTGTCAGTTGATTTCTCCTCCTTACCTACACCTCAACGCATAACCTCAATATTGCTCACATTATTACACAACGTCACACGGGAGGTAGAACGCAGGCACCCATGATCAAAGACAGCTAACCTTTTCATGTCTTCCACTCTCAATAGGCAGGTCTCACAGCCATAAAAGAGGATGGAGCGGGCTGCTGAGCGGTACACACGCCCTCCGGTAGACAGCCAGCTAGCTGGATATCACGTCTACGCCAGAGACGGCGTGAACTGGCATATGTGAAACCAGCCTTCTGTAACCGTGCTAAGATTTCGTCAGCGACCAACCTGCTGGCACTGGCTGATGCAACTCCCCAAATAAGTGAAGTGGTCAACACGCTCCACCAACCAATTCGCTCCCTATTTCTAAGCTAGGAGTCAATGTAATCCAGTCCTGTAGCGCCATCATCTTACGTTTGGCGAGAGTGAATAACTGGACTCACAATGTGACAAGCCATATCTGTTTTGCAATGAAGTGAATATGCATTTTGAGAAAGCACTTTTTCAAAGTTACATGAAAGCAGACTGGAACTTATAGAAACAATCATCATCAATGAAATCCTGTGTATCTTTACAGAAAATTATTTATATCACTTTGTCAGTATAATACATAACTCAAAGTTCACAGTCAAAACTTTAATCGTTTAATTATCGTGACAGTCGCTGTTCTGTAGTTGTTACTACTCCTATTTTAGTGCTATCGATATAATGAATTTGTCTAGGATTTTCCCTTGGGTTCCGAGCGGAGCATAGGGCTTCAACAACTCAACTTTACTTTCTTCTATTTTCTACCATCCTCTTCACCTGGGCCCACGATTGCCCATAATCTCTCATCTCATCCTCCCCAAAGGATCTCCTATATGTCACCCTCACACTGACGACCTATTCGTCGCTTCCCATCTGGATTCCACTAGACCGATGGCCTGCATTGTAAGAGGTGTCATCCGACGGCCTCCTCAGCGTGTGCCTGATTCATCTCCATTTTCTCCTGCATATTTGTTGAGCGATTGGCTCTTGACTGGTTCGTCGCCAGCCAGAGTTTCTTGCTGCTAATTCTTTCTGGCCAGCCGTCTGGTCATTTGATCTTCAGTATGGAGCCAAGGAAGGAGGTAGCTGTTGATGAAAGTCTGCAACCTGTCGGAAATCCCTTTCGTTACACGCTGGCCAAGTTTCCGACCCGTATATAAGAATTTACTGACTTGACAATGGTGTTGAAAATTCGAATCTTTTCCTTTATGCTGAGGTGGAGTTTCAGGTTGATGAAGTCCTACATATATCAATCAGAAGGATGTATTGTACTACTACTACATTAAAACTCCCATTACCATTGAAAGGCTTATGTCTTGGACAGCAGTTTTCCACTATAGTTTATACCTTATAATTTTATTATATCAAAGCAAAATCGATAATTCTCCATCACCACATGGCTAGTGGCTTATTGAACAACAGGAAATGTACACCATATTCCATCGATAACCTCTAACTATGGAAACATGGACCAAACACTTTATCAGATTGCATTTGTATTTCAAGGGCACGAAGCTGAAAAAATGAGTATACTGGCCAGTTGATGTAGTTTTTCTATATACACTTCTTCTTATTATGCCATTCTCTTTTCTGGTCATAAGGACGTCTAAAAATGAAATAATAGAGTCTTTCTCTTTCTCAATGGTACAATTTATTGCAGGATGAACTTCGTTAAATTTGTCAACAAGGATATTCTTTGCTTCATCCTCATTTTGCATTATCAACAATGCAACATCCATGTACCGACAGTAGAATTCAAGTTCATCAATTACATATTTCAAATGCCTATTCTCTAGTTTCGTAAGGGAATTTTCGTTTAAAGTGGGTCCTAATGGTGACATAGTTTTGCTTTTCATGATTTTCCCTTAGTAATCTTTCTCTCCCTTCTTTGTGTTTATCCATTTCTCAGTCTTAGCATAAATGTTGTTGTTGCCGTTGATATGTCAAGTCATGCTTCAGTAAATTCAACAAGTGCAGTAAACCAACAAATTGAATTATCTCAATCCCATACTGAATATGAAGTAGCTATACAGGCTGTAATGGAAATACTTCAAGAATACGACAGGTAAAATATCTGTGTGAAAAAAAATTGTTACTTTACAGGAATAATTTTTGTATGGTTAACACGTTTTACTTTATGTTAAAATATGATTAAAAATGAATTACATTTTACTCTCTGTTTATATTTATATTCATAGTCTTTAAGCGTCGGTGGTTCAGCGGTAGAGCGCTGGCCGACCACGAACGTGGTCCGGGGTTAAAGTCCCGACCAGTGCACACCTTTACCTACCTTAGCCGGTTACAATCCTGACAAGGAGGGAAGGTTGGGCGTAAGGCTAGCAATCCCATCTTGTAAAGACAAAAACCGCTGCTATCGAAACTTCAAAGCGCGAGCTTGAAGCCGTATGTTCCACTGAGGATGCAAAGGAATAAAAAAAAGTGTAATTCACAGTCTTTAAGCGTCTGAATACCACTAGAAATTGGATGGTATTCAAGGTTTTACAGATCAACCCTATAATCTTCAAACACAAATTTAGGTTTCACCTCTCCTCACCAAGAAAATATTTGCGCAAATAATGTATTAATTCAAAAGGTCGACTAATAATACATTATTATTTCATGAGATGATTCCTGGACAAGACAAACAGCAACAGAAAACGATCAGCATAGATGGAAGGAACCGGAAAGAAACAACCTCTTTTACCTACCCACCTCGGAAGCATCGTTTCAACTACAGGCATACGGAACTGACGACGATATCAAAGCAAGAATCGGAAAAGCAAGACAAGCTCTCACTACTCTCAAGTCTGTGTGGAGGTCAACAACACTCAGAATCAAAAATAACATCCGGATTTTCAACTGCAATATGAAGTCAGTGCTACTAAACGGATCAGAGACTTGCACTGCGCGTCATAAAGAGCATCTCAAACAAACTACAAACCTTCATCAACAGCTGTCTTCGCTCAATGCTACTCAAGATCAGATGTCCGGCCAGAAAAGATCATCAATAGAGATCTCTGGGAGCGAACCAACCAGGAACTGATTGTGAAACTAATAGGCAGGAAGAAATGGAGATGGATTGGCTGGCCATACTCTGAGGAAACCATCAAGTGACATCACTAGATAAGCCATTGCTCGAGTGGAACCCGAACGGGAAGCGGTCGTCAGTGCAAGGGTGACATGGAGGAGGTCATGTGAAGAGGAGATGAAAACGTGTGGGCAGACTTGGAGCCAGGTGAAGACTCTAGCAGAGAACCGAACGCAGTGAAGACGCACGGCTGAAGCCCTATGTTCCTCTAGGAATTAAAGGAAACAATAATAAATGATAATTTTATGAGATCGTGGGTAGATGGCACAACGGTTAGGATGCTCGCCTACCATTCACATGGTCCGGCGTTCGATCCCCAGCCACTGAGGCACTCCTTTACCTCGCTAAGCCAGTATTTAAAAACGCTGGTAAAGGGGAAAGGTTGGTCATGAGGCTAGCAACCAAATCCTGTAAAAATAAACACCGCTGCTATGGAAACTTCAAGCCTCTAGCTTGAAGCCCTATGTTCCACTGGGAACGTGAAGGAATAAAAAATACAAAAAAATTCCATGAGATCAAACCCTTCATGGCCACCTCAAAAGTAGTCTTTCAGCGTTTTGATGATATTAATTGAGTTACAAATCTTGAAGAGCATGCTACTACTATTTGTTATGAAACAGATTTTCAGCAGGTTTAAGTTGCTTACAAATGAAGTAGTCAGTTCAATGAAACATAAGAAGTGAAAAGTTGTGTTTAGGCCGGCTGGATTTTTCCACTTCTCTAGTAACTTCAAGATCTGGAAGAGGATGAAACGGCACGCATAACCTAAAAAGACCAGAACACTTTTAATTTTGTTAAAAAGTATTTCTTTTATAGGAAGTATTCAAACGAAATAGTAGTGTATCATAGCAAATCATATGCCAATAAGCAAGAGCACCATATACTGTCAAATAGTTAAATAGTTTCCAAAATGCATGACATATAAGATTCAGAGTAGAATGCCATGAAATCAGGATAGAAGTAGGTAATTTTCACTAGGGACTGATTTTATAGTCTATCAGTTTCACTTTCAGAAACAGTAGTGCCAAGGTTAGAATTTGCATTACCATTACTACTTTTCGGGGAAATTAATTGACATGCTAGCAGGCTTATTTCATTCTGAAAATCTGAAAATTCATATTCCAAACACTCATGTTGTTTGTGTGCAAAACAATTTATTAAAAACAATTTTACAGTTCCGCTTTGAGATGCATATACTAACCTAATCAGTTGGCAAATCAAATGCAGGCGTAAAATTGAACTGAGAGAATTCATGTAGGATTTAGGAATTTCTGGACATACTGATTGTACATAAATCTTTGATTATACTTCAGGTAGGCAAGAAAATTCTGAAAACTCAGCAGGTTAGATATGATGGAGAAGATTTGTAGCTCAGGTGGATGATTTTGATGTGTTTGTGTCCTCTGAGCTGAATAGTTTATTTGCGAGGCTTTCATTGCCCTACTAGGAAACATCTTCAGCATATACTTCAATTTGAAGTGAGCTTTCAGATTTCTTCACGAGTTTGCTAGTCATCTCTCCTGGTGAGTGACCTTGAACGTAATTGGTTGTTTTTGTGTGTTTTCACACCCTCTAGGCTACGTTTGTTGGTAGTGGTGTTGATTGTTTCCTTGACTTGAACTCTGACCCTTTGTGTATGTGACATTTCCTTCTTATCGATTGGTAAATTTTGTCTATCTCGATGTGTCTTTGGATTGACGATTCAATGGAATACCAGGCAGCCTTCTAAAAATTCTCTAGCATTCTTGATGTTTCCTCTGTCTAAGATTTTAACGTTGTCCCAGTCGAACTGATGTCCATGGCCGTGTGTATGCAGCGATATTAGGGAGCGAATGTTATGTCTTTTGACGGCTAGCTTATGATCATGGATACGAAGGGGAAGGGGACGTATTAGTGTTTTTCGCAGTTGTTACAATTTATTTTGTAGATGATGTTGGTTTTATCTTCTTTCTCTGTTGAGTCTTTTGGTTGACACAGAACTGAGTGAAGTGATTTTGTTGGTTTGTGTGCGACATAAATTCCTAAAGGTTTGACGAATCTTGCAGTGATTTCTGATATATCCTTTATATATGACTTTCTTTGTGCTTTCCTTGAAGGCTTTTGGTTTGATAGATTGGCTTGGGGGTATATGTCTTTTGATGAAATTCCGTGGATATCCATTCTTTTGGAAGACGTCCATGAGATATCTTTCTTCAATTTTCCTTCAAATTGAAGTATGCGCTGAAGATGTCACCTAGTAGGGTGATGAAAGCTTCGCAAATTAACTATCTAGCTCAGAGAACACAACCACATCAAAAAAACTCAGCAGGTTATCATGACGTTTGGTACAGATACCTCAGAATACAAATACTAATTGTTTATTTTTACTGCCTGAACTCTTTTTGACAAACAGACATGACATTGTACAAATACATATAGGTGAAATGAAATTTTCGCAGACCAAATATACACTGAAACTTAAGCCCTTTTTGGTGATACTTCATGTACACCTCTCACCTAACATCGAGTATACCGGAGACTTTTCAGTCAAGTTTTTATCATATGTATATATATATCATATTTACCAAATTTCGGTACATTAATTTGGAAACTAAACATTAAATGTACATTTATGAAACGGATTTCCTAGTGAAATAAAGACGTTAGAAAATAAACCAAACTACTTAGTGTGATATTAGATGGTTGAAGGCAATCGGCAGGAAGCCTTCAATTTAGGTTTAGTGCTAGTTGGCATTCACCAGCCAGCAAGGCCCATCTACAACCTTGAAGGAACTCATGTCCCTTCTGAGATTCGAACCAGTATCACCAAGTGCTGCTGTCAGAGACGTTACCACTGAGCTATTCGGGCTCGCGATTATGCAATCAAAATATCCAATCTTTATGTCGGTTTTCGCCTATATTTAGTTCCTTGGATCGTTGACTCAATCACTTGGCCTTTCAGCCGATGAGTCTTCGACTTGAAATCCACTCCTCTCTGCTGCTGTAGTTCAGATTACTAGTCATCATACAATAAGTGCAGCTGACACCTTATTTTTCTTACCAATTTCCATATATTTTTGGAAAAAATACAATAACTCAACTAACAAAATATTTCACTAGACAATTTTTTAAACAATTTTCTTTTTATCTATTTCTTTTCACTGAAAAAAATATGTATAGTGATCAGCTTTTCCCTGCCTTCGGATTTGGTGCAAAAGTTTCCACTGGTGGAAAGTTATCTCACAGATATCCTTTGGTAAGTTGGTTACTGTCGCGTTGAGATCGAGTACAGTTCTCTTTATTCATGTCAATTAAACAATGAATGTCGCATTTTATTTAGAATTTCATTTTCATTTTGTAGTAGAATAAAAATGTTCACTTCTTAGCTATTATTCGGTAAAGGAATTATCACATATTACCTAAAGTTACTTGGTGTTTAGTTAATTTGCGTGTTTGTTGAATAATGGACATAAAACAATAGTGTGGCAAGGGGAAGGTTTCACATCAATCAAATGAGAATTTACTACTCCTTTTTTTTATTTCGACTCTGTAAACATTTGCTTTTATACAGTATCTTTTATAGAAAAATTGATTTTTGCGAATGGCTATTTCACAAATGTTTCTGATATCAGTGAAGATTAAATTTAATTTGGCCTGGAAAATCTTTGAATTCGTCAATATCTGTATCACATTCTGCTTGATATGATACATATGCGTATGGGTATTCCATTTTCAATTATGATGAAAAGTAGCTTAAAGAAGTAAAGTAGGATTTAACATTCACCTTTAAGTAAAACTGCAGAGATCTCATTGAGTTCCAAGATAAAATTTAGTTATAAAACTTAAAGAAATCAAACTTAATTAAAACATCAGTAGTCAGTCAGTAGTTTGAACTATACAGTCCCGTAGGTGCTCTATGCCTGTATGAGAAACTTAGGCTATGAAATACAATTTTAGCAGATAGATTTTAATGTTAACTAACAAAACAGATTATTTATGGTCTCATAAACTGACCGAACATTATTGGAAAATAACTACTAACTACCTGTCTGTCAAGTAACTGACGATTCTGGTTTAATCAAGATTATAAATAAAAATGGTTTTTACCATTAGTCCCATCATAAGCCCCACATCTGTCAAGTTTCTTCTGTGCACACTAGACTTTCACATCCTAATGTAGTTACTATCATGTTTTGAAAACGTTTTACTGGTATTTGAATCTTTTTACTTGATTACGTGAATGAGATCTACCTGGTCGGTATGTGTTAAAAAGAAACGTTATTCAATTGTTGGTTTGTAGGGATTTGGTTGGTTACAGGATTTTCATCCTGAGCTGACATTAGTTAGAGAACCATTGAAAACCAGCACTGGAGTACTGGACAGCTGCTGTTTCATTCTAGTTTGGGAATTATCGGCAGAACGCACCCACTGGGATTCGAACTCAGGATCTTCCGGTTACAAGGCAAGCTCATATACCATTCAGCCACTGGGACCCGAACCAATGGTCCATGAATTCTAACTTCTGCCAAATCACGATATAGCGCGACCCCTAACCAATGTCTTCGGCGAGTATTTTTCCTCACACCCGACCTGCTGCACCCTACTGGTCACGACTTTTCACTAGAAAGAAACGTTTTTGTTCTTGCATTTAGTGTGTCATTAATGGAACTACCCATGTGGGTTAATACGTCATTTTCATTAAACTGGTCTTGTACCCTATTTGGGTATAAACTGTTTTATGGTAAGAATTTACGCACCAAGTGGTTAAATAATTCTGAAGAGTAACAATTATACTCACAATTAGATTGGTTCAGAATCATAATTTCAAGTAAGATATAGAACTACTAAAAGCCAGAGAATATAGGGCAGTCATTTCGTCCTAGTTTGAGACTCTGCAGCAGTGTGCATCTATAACCCCCATGGGGTCGAATTCAGAACATTTAGGTTGTCAGGCAATCCTGTTCTCTTACTAGTGTTAATGGGTAGTCCAACTTGAAACTTATCAAATCTACATAAACCAGCTCTTGAAAAATTATAACTCCACAATCATTTATTCCGAGAGAATATATGATGTTCTAGACAACTTATAACAGCATGTTCTACTTGATACTTTAATTGGCATTCATAGAAAGCTTAGATTTCCTTTGGAAACCATTGTTGACTTTCACCTGCAGCTCTACAATTCTCAAATGAGAAATTCAGCTCTAATTTCATACAAAAAATGAATTTAGGAATTGGAGATTCTAGGATGAGGATTAAAAGGTGATGTGATAATGGGGAAATTAAACACCGCATTGATGGTGAACAAATGCTAGATTGTTGAAGAAAACATATTTTATAGGATAAGCCGCTCTCACTGGACTTATTGTGCTTTATATTGTGTTACAATCTTAGCGTTACCATAGTGATATATATAGATGCCAGTTGTTATCCCTATGGAGTGTAACTGGTTTCACAGTGATTCTTTATAACAAACAGACATCAGGTAACAACAGATGAAGTTTCGTTCAATTTCAGAAATTTATGTCAAATAGAGGCTTGATCTGTCAGGTTTCGAGACAAGAGTCTTTTCACTTAACCCCACTCAGTCAGATTACGATGGCTAATATTTCTCTACTGTTACTAATTATAGCTATGCTAATTTGTTGCGGATTCAACCATCTAAATAATCCAAATTATTATTTACCTTAAAAATAATAACAACTGCTTGGAATTTAGATGAAATACAGAATACTTGAGGTTTATGAAAACACGTAAATTCAATTAATCTCATATAATATTTTTGTTATCTTCTCCTTATAAATAAATGTTATCAAGTGAAATGAATTTTTGAAAGTAAATGTATCAAATTTTAAAAAGTGAATAGGTTAGATTCAAAATGCCTGGACAAAATTAGATTCCAGTTAACTGATGACCTCAAGGATACCGCCCTTATTCTTTAATAATAAAAACTTTAGTGAACCAACTATTAACTAAGCGTTAATTTTTATTCATTCACAAAGGAATTGGTACAACGAATTTTCAAAAGATTGACTGATTATTGAAAAAAGAATATTCTTTTTGATAACTTCATCATCAGGTTCTACAGTCATCAGTAATTAGCTTTCGGAAACAGTTCATCTGATAGACAGAATTAATCAAGCATTATCACTGGAATTTAATTGGTGGGTGGTGACTACCAGTGGAATCCACGATAACGCGCATTTCGTCCTATTTGGGACTCGTCATCTGGATGTACCTGCATTTCTCAGTGAGTGATGATGTTCCCACCGAGGCTCGAACCCAGTGCCCATAGTTTCAAACGCCAAAGCGTTATCCACTAGACCGCTTGGGCCACGAGAGCCACCTCTGAGACCGAGCACTTCGGTCCAATCAATCGACGGGAAAATCTAACGTTGAATGAAATTATCACTAGAAGGTTAAAAAAATTTTTCTTTGAATGGTATTTTTACGTATTTCTAATAAAATATTAAACCAGGAGATGTAGAGTAATTCAGAGTGCTGAAGGTGGAGGATATTTGAACAGTGGGAAAGGAATTTCCTGGTAATTATTTTATATCATTTTAAGATCTTGTGTTTAAAATATTCTCACAAAGCCACAGAACTTGAAAACTGATATTATAATAACAGAACGATTGTTATTGAATGCATTTCTTGGTTTTTAAAAAGGCGTAACACCGAATCATCTAGATGAGAATTCCAAGTTATTTGCGATTAGATTGTTTTACGAGTTGATCACGGATTGATATTGAAGACCAAGGAGGACTGGACAGCTGCTTCATATTAGTTTGAGAATCATCGGCAGTACGCAACCATCTCACATAGGGTTCGAACCCAGGACCTTCCGGTTACAAGGCAAGCTCATTTACCATTCAGCCAGTGGGACCCGATGCAATGGCTCATGAATTCTAACTGATGCCAGCAAGTAACTTGCTACAGGATGGAGTTTCCTGGAGTTCTAGTGAGAAGTTGTGACCAGTGAGGTTCAACCAGATGTCACGTGTGAGGATGGATGTCCCACCAACGACATTAGTTGGTGCCAGTCGCGCTAAATCACGAATTGGTAGAAGTTAGAATTCATGAGCCATTGAATCGGATCTCAATGGCTGAATGGTATACGAGCTTGCCTTGTAACCGAAAGGTCTTGGGTTCGAACCCCATGTGAGGTGGTTGCGTACTGCCGACGATTCCCAAACTAGGATGAAACAGCTGTCCAGTACTCCCTGCTGGTTTTCAATGGTTCTCTAACGACATCAGTCCGTGATCAACTTGTAAAAACATAACTAACCCTTACAAACCAAACTATAGAAGATTAGATTGTTAACAGATTATAGTCAAGAATATGTGCGTATGTGTTAATATGTAAAACTGCCATACTAAACTGAACACCCATATTGCAAAGTAAATGATTAGGAAAGACAACGAATCTACAGTAATAAATTTTTGTATGTCATGTTCATATTAAGTTTCATTCATGGTGATTATATACTTCGGATGGATGAGTGATCATGTCAAAGACGGGGATAGAGAAAAAAGAGATTTTTGTGGGTGGTGGGTGGTTGAAATTTATATGCATTGAATGTGTGTCAGTGTGTGAGTTTAAATAAGAAAACAAAGGGAATTTATGTGTACAGGATGGAGGATCATAACAAAAGGGCAGATGTAATAAGGTATTTATGAATTTGCAAACTCCACAGCAGGCCAGGGCAGTAACAGTGGTTGTACGTGTTGCTTCTGCATACAGAGCACTGGTTGTCTCAGGTGAATCGCGATAGCCTCTGCTGTTTGGAGTATTCGGTACCTGTATGATTTTGGTAATTTGTTTGGAACTCGATAGATGATGGAGAAGGACTCTTCAATATTGGCTTTGTGGCCAGTTCGAACCAGGTGTTCTAATATGGAGCTATTGATGCTTCTAACTACACTTTCATTTAGCCACACTGACAGATGTTTTTGAGCATGAAAAATCAAGTTCCTAAAGCAACGGCCGAAACAACTCGCTCCACAAGCGCAGATGAACTGATGAAGACAATTAGAGGTGGCTAGCGTAGTCTAGGTACTTCACCTTTAAATCAAGGAATCACCATCGGCAGTGTAGAAAATAAGACTTTTAGTTTGCCAGCATTAAAAGTTCTTTGAACTGGTTTTCTTAACATCTTCGTAATTATTTCGTTAGGTATATCGCCTTTGAATCTCAGTTGTATGTATAAAGGCTTCTTGCTTACGTACAACTGGTTTGGTGAATGTATAAAACAT